CAACTTTCACATGCACATGATGCAATGGAGAGGACCATGGCTTGGGTCAGGCACACCTTGGTTGTCAAAGTAACGTCCTTGCTCTTCAGTACTCTAAAGAGGTGTTATGTCACAGATTTTCCTAAAACAATGCCTCTTTTGATCTCTTGAATGCTGTGTCCATAAGTATTGATTATGGATACAAGCAAGACAAAATCCTTGACGACTTCAATTTTTTCTCCATTTATCATGCTATTACCTATTGGTCCAGTTGTAAGGATCTTGCCCTTCTTCACATTGAAAGCTAAAATCCTTTATTTATTCAGTAAGTGCTTCAAGTCCTCCTCACTTTCAGCAAGTAAGGTTGTTTCATCTGCATGTCAGGGGAATAAGCCTTCCTCCAATCCTGATGCCAATCTTCTTCATATAATCCAGTTTCTCTTATGATTTTCTCAGCATACATATTGAGCAATATGGTGAGAGGGTGCAACCCTGATGCACATCTTTCCTGATTTTAAATCATGTAGTATTCCCTTGCTTGGTTTGCACAACTGTCTCTTGATCCATGAACAAGTTCCAAATGAGCACAATGAAGTGTTCTAGAATTCTCATTCTTCTCAAGGCTATCTACAGTTTATTATTATCTACACAGTTAAATTCCTTTGCATAGTCCATGAAACACAAGTAAATATCTTTCTGATATCCTCTGGTCCGAGCCAAGATCCATCTGACATCAGCAATTATATCCCTTATTCCACATTCTCTTCTGAATCTGGCCTGCACTTCTGGTGGTTCCCTATCAGTGGACTGCTGTCACTGTTGTTGGATGATGGTCAATGACATTTTACTTTCAAATTAGCCACTAGATAAATGCCATTGGTTGCTTTCAGCATTGCTAATAACGCTGAGGTGAGATGGTTTCTCATTGTTGTTTTGTTTTGCATCTCTCTAAATAGCTGGTAAAGATTGCAGAGATTAGAACTCTTTGCTGGTGGTACTGTAAAATGTTTCAAGCACTTGGAAAATGATAGGGTGCTTTTTTATAAATTTGGAAATAGAAATTTCATATAATCCAATAATCCACTAAAATATATGTGTCCTAGAGATATAAGATCCATTTAACAAACACATGAACATACATTCATGTTCACTACTGCATTATTTACAACAGCAAAATGATGGAAACAATCTAAATGGCCACCAACAGATGAATGAATAACTAATTATGGTAAATACACATAATGGAACAATACACACTGTTAAAGAATAATGAAGAAAAAACACCAAACACCTCAATCTGGAAGATATTACACTGAGTGAAAAAGGTCAATCGGAAAGGACCAATATTGTATAAGACCATTACTGGGAAAAGTCAAGGAAAAGCTTATACACACACACACACACACACACACACACAGCATTATTTGAAAATTATCAGGGATAGAAGGGGAACAGAAAGTAAATTACTAAGTAAAAGTATGCATATTTACTTGGATGAAGAGAAAGGCAATACAAGATAAAGTTTACAGGAGTACAACATGACCAAGATAAAAGAAGATGCTAGAAGGTATGCAAGAGTAAAAGCCAACAGTCCCGAAATAATAGCAATAACAAATAATAGCTACAAAGAGATACACAGGTATATGTACATGTTGAACAGATTTGGGGGTGTGAATAGCTGTATACATTTGTTTAGTAGCAGATATTTCTAAATATGTGTTTATATGTGCTGTAAATATATCCAAGGATAGTTAGAAAATCCAGGGGCAAAGTTCTGGAAAAGGCCTGAGCCATACTGAAGCACCTTGAAGGACCGGATCAGAGCTTTGAACCAGAATCTCAGACATCACATAGTCGTAAAGGCAAAGCCCTGCATCTGAGTAACTGGTAACTTTAAAGCTTGAAAGTGCTTATCTGAGAGGCATCTATTGGTCTCTCCCCATTTAAAGGGAAAAAGTGAAGAAATTGAAAGATTCAAGGAAACGATCCACCCTAGGGGGTAATGGCAGAAGTAAATCAGAGCCACCACTCTCCTGATCCCAACAGAACTAGACGGTGTCCAGTTACCAATACCACCTATTCTGCCATGATTACAATAGGTAGAATGGGAGGGCAAACGAAATGTAAAACAGACTTCAAAACTGGTCTTACCCAATATTGAGAGTAGCCATACCACGAGGGGAAGGGGAAGGTTGGGGGACAAAACGGGAGATGAACAACAGAAAAGTGGGTGAAGGGAGACTTACACGGTCAGTGTAAGACGTGAAAAAATAATAATAATTTATAAATTATCAAGGGTTAATGAGGGAGGGAGGGAGAGAGGGAGGGGATGATGATGGCAACAAATGTACAAATGCTCTTGACACAATTGATGGATGGATGGATGGATGGATGGATGGATGGATGGATGGATGGATGGATGGATGGGTGGGTGGGTTGTGATAAGAGTTATATGAGCAACCCCCCAAAATGATTTCTTTTTAAAAAACTGGTCTTACAGAGACTTAGAAACCGTGACCCTTAGACACTCTCAGTCCTGGAATGGAGCCCATCATCTGGGACCAACTTTCAGGCCAACAATAAAAGGCCTACAAAGTGAATGATGACAGCAGTGATAAATATACAATCAACCATTCAAGACAAAAAGAGCACCCCCCTAAAAAAAAGCTGGAAGAAAGGAAGGAGTAGGAAAGAATGAATGGAAACAGGGAGACTCAGGGTACGTGGGAAGAGTGATGGTACATTGAGGGGATTGCAAGCAATGTCATGAAGCAAGTCGCTTATAAATTATCGAATGAAAGCTATTTTACTCTATAAATTTTCACTCGACCCTCAATAAATGTATTTTAAAGATGAAAACAGCCTAAGTGCCCAACAATGGATAAACAAACTATAGTATATGCACACAGTGGACTACTGCCCACACTTAAAGAATAATGAAGAACCTGTAAAACACCTCTGTTTTATCATATTATTGGGGGCACACACAGCTCTTATCACAATCCATACATACATCCATGTGTCAAGCACATTTGTTTATATATTGCTATCATCATTCTCAAAACCTTTTCTTTCTACTTGAGCCCTTGGTATCAGCTCCTCATTTTTTCCTTCCCTCTCCCACCCTCTCCCTCCATCATGAACCCTTTATATTTATAAATATTTTTTTCATGTCTTACACTGACTGATCTCACTTCGCCCACTTGTCTGTTGTTCATCCCCCTGGAAAGGGGTTATGTGTTGATCATTGTGATCGATTCCCCTTTCTCGCCCCACCTTTCTCTTACCCTCCAGGTATAGCTACTCTCATTATTGGTCCTGAGGGGTCATCTGTCCCGGATTCCCTGTGTTGTAAGCTCTTATCTGTACTCATGTACATGCTCTGGTCTAGCTGGATTTGTAAAGTAAAATTTGGGTCAGAATATTGAAGGGGACGAAGCATTAAAGAACTAGGGAAAGTAGTATGTTTCTTCGGTATTATACTGCACCCTGACTGGCTTGTCTCTGCCTTGTGACCCTTCTATAAGGGGATGTCCAATTGTCTACAAATGGGCTTTGGGTCCCCACTCTACACTCCCCCTCATTCACATTGATATGATTTTTTATTCTGGGTCTTTGATGCCTGATACCTGATCCCATCGGCACCTCATGATCACACAGGCTGGTGTGCTTCTTCCATGTGGTCTTTGTTGCTTTTAAGCTAGATGGCTGCTTGTTTATCTTCAAGGCCTTAAGACCCCTAACACTATCTCTTTTGATAGCTTGGCACCGTCAGCTTTCTTCACCACGTTTGCTTATGCACTCATTTTGTCTTCAGCGATTGTGTTGGGAAGGTGAGCATCACAGAATGCCAGGTTATTAGAACAAATTCTTGCATTGAGGGAGTACTTGAATAGGAGCCCAATGTCCATCTGCTACCTTAATACTTAACATATAAATATATGTACATAGATCTATTTCCCTGTTGTTATATATAAATATATTTACATATGTATATGCCTGTGTTTAGGCTTCTATAAATGTCTTTTGCCTCCTAGTTCTTTCCTCTATTTCCTTTTACCTTCCTCTTGTGCCACTATCATTAAAACACCTCTTAACTTGAATGAACCTGGAGAACATTATTCTGAGTGAAATAAGTCAGTCACGAAAAGGACACATATTGTGTGGGACCACTATTAGAGAAAGTCGAGGACAGGTTTTACATGAAGAAACATTATTTGATGTTTCCAAAAGTTGAGCTGTGTAGGAAAGGGAAATAACTAACTAGAAAGTAGGCATGCATTAATTTGAGTGAAGGGAGAAGTAATGCACAATAAGGAAGAGATACACACAACATGATGAAAGCAAAGAAAGATGCTGAAAGGAGGGCAAATTCTATTGTATACAAAACTCTCTACACTAACAGCAATTATAAAAGTTGATTTTCAAGTAAATATATAGGTATGTATGTTAGCTAAGCAGGCATAGGTTGACACATGTGAGCATATTCATAATCATATATAGGTTTGGCAGAGGATCCTTCTACATGTTCACTAAACTAACAACAATGTAGTAAACACCACTTCATGATCAGTGAGTGCACGATAGGAGCTCAAAGCAGGAGTGAGTGGGGAGATGAGGAGCGCTGGGAAGCATTCATGAACAAAATGACCAGTCATTAGTTAAACTATCTGGCTACTCAACATAGCCTAACTTTTCATAGCTTAGTATAAATTGTTCTTTGTTCACAAACTTTCATCTGTTGCCAAAATGCTAATAGCTTATGTTCCCATTTAACAATGGTTTTTGGTCAAAAATGTACACCCACACATTCTCGCGAACTAAGGGTACAAGAAAACAAGGACTCTGAGATTTCCCATCAAGATTATTCTTTACACAAAGTACTCTTCTTCGCATGATGATCACTAATGAGTACAGAAAGTACTTATTGTGCAAAGTCATTCCACTGAGGCTAGAGGACCACAGATGGGAGTTTTCTCCGACTGTTGGAAACAAAGTCAAGTTCTCTCCTCTCATCAGCCATGGGGAATTTTGTTCTCCTCTTTGCCATTTTCCTCTTCATGAGTCAAGTTCTACCAGGTAACAAAATAAACTTTGCATTAGTAAGAGTATTAAGTATTTGCATTAGGCTGAGCTCTTGGGCCAGGTTGGGGAGAGGTCCCATAGAAACCTGGAAAAGTCATTTGCTGAGGAGACCTGAAGCCATCTAATCCATTAGTTCTCCACAGCATCTCTCGGCTGTGTGAATTGAAATCAGAGTCTTTCAAATGCTTAAGACGCTTTCTTCTCCATCATCAAAGTTGAATTTAGTTAGGCAAGCTTATCAGCTGCTTCTGGATCTAGGTGACAGAAAATTCAGCATTGGTGGTCTTTAAATGTGCTCTATGCACTATCACTGAAAGCAAATTCTCCTAACACAGCATACGAAGCAATTCCAAGTTGAAGACAGTAAGCAGAAAGAAGGGATGATCTCTTCATAGAAAGATGACTGTAAGTCTAAGAAACGTCCAACCCATTGGCCCTCGGTCCTGTTGGTTTGGACTGGAGCCTATTCATTAAGGCTTCATCCTAACCCTTGGTTTCATGCCTTCCTTTGAACTCCCAGTCTTCTAAACTAGAACGTAAACACAAGAATCAGGCGATCGTGCAGTGAAAGGTGTCCTCCTACATTCAGCATTCAAAGGCTCTAAGAGTTATTATGCACAGACACTTTGCTAGCGCGGTGTGTAGCATTTCTTCCCCCAAATGGAGCAAGACATCTAAAACATATGATGTAATTTAGACCCAGATACTATGGACTTAAATCCTGCAGACCCAAGGAAAAATAATTTATATGTATGAAGTAGAATGGTTTATCTTTTCCTAGGAAACACAGATCGCTAGGGTTCAGAAGAAACAGAAAGGTACTAGATGTCTGAATGTCAGCAAACCTTTTATGTTTTCAGTAAGTGCTCATATAAGTTATATGCTGTTTTCAAAAATACGTTTCCCATAATGTCCAACAGAAGGTTCACTGCCTATTCTTGTTTCATTCAGACTTTAACCCTTTGAGTCTGTGGTTTAAAGGACTGCATACTGTTAGTGATTAAAGAGTATTTCAGATTTGAAAAACCACCCCATGTAAGGTACCTCTCAACTTTGCTTCAGAAGAACTAAAATCAATGATGTAAAGGGAGAGACTGGAGAAGGAAAGCCATTTCATTTTGTGGGCTATTTGCTGAGGCTCTGCTAAGAAGTAAGCACTCAAAGAAGTCAGATGGTGACCTTTGCCTTCCAGGGGGCTATATCAGCCGCTTTTGTTTCTATAGTCCTGGAAAGGGTCAGTAAGTTCTAAAACTAGAGTATTGTCACAGAATGAAGGAAAATTTCATAGGTGAGAGAGCAGAACAAAATAAAACAGATGCCAAAGGAAAAAGGGAAGTGCCCAAAGTGAAATGTTACAAGCCCACGGCATTACACCTTGTTGCTTTGGTTGTATGGGTGGCATAGAGTCGATATGGACTCAGAATCAATCACTGCCTGGTCCTGCACCATCCTAGCAATCGGTGCTACGTTTGAGCCCATTGTTGCAGCCTCTGTGCCAATCTCTCTCATAGAAAGTCTTCCTGTTTTTCTCTGTCCTTCGACTGGTCCCTCCTAAAAATATTTCCAGCGTACATGAAATGAGGCCTCTACATACTCCCTATAAGTAATGTTCTGGCTGCGCATCATCAGGTGCATCATAGTCTGGAAGTGACACCTTTGCTTTTGAGCACTTTAAAGAAGTCGGTTGCAGATTTGCCCCATTGGATAAGTCAATTGCTTATTTAACTCCTGTTTCAAGGGGCACTGATTGTGGATCCAAGTTAAATGAAATCGTTGCCCATTTCAATATTTTTCTGTGTGTATGAGGATGTGACTTGTGAGGAGTTTTGCTTTCTGTATGCTGAGGTTTGTCCATACTGAAGGGGGTCATCTTTAGTTTTCATCAGCAGTGCGTCAAGGCCTCTTTGCTTCCATCAGGCAAGGCTGTGTCATCTGCACACTACAGGTTATTAATGAGTCTTCCTCCAAGCCTGATGCTGTGTTCCTCTTCATATTGTCAACTCTACCTACTAAATCTAAATACTCTCTCTTCTCTCTTTGAGGTTCTTACACAAACCCCTGCCTGCTTAGTGGCTGTGGTTTCCTATATCTGCTTTCTTGTTTATTTTTGAAACAAAAATAAGTACTCCAGAAATCTAGTCTGATGGCTACAGCAAGCTTATAGGTCTTTCTCTTGATATGTTTACTGAATGAGAACTTCACTAGATGCTGATGGACAGACTGTCTCAGCAAAAAGGCTTTAGTTTTCTCATAGTTCTAATTTTGGAAAATTATTTTTAATATGTGGAAATAATTTCTTGAAATTTTCACATATTAGCCCTAGATGCTTCTACCCTTTGGGTTACTCGAAATATATCTAATTGCTTTGCTTAGCCAAATGTGTATGTGGAGAAAATGTAAGAATGATTTTTCTAAATATGTTGGCTCTATGAATTAGCTTCACCACCTCCATTAATTGAGCACTCATTAAATTCCTGGTACTCTGCTAAACACTTTGTATGTATTAACTCACGTGACCCTCCTAATTTGGGGAGGTTCTGTATTTGCCTGCGGGACAAGGATTAGAACCCTTATAACTAGCAGCACATCTCGATGCTTTAAATAATCAATTGTGTTGTATTTAATACTATTTGTTGATATGAATGAGGCTAGACTAAAAATTATAGAGTACTCCTCAAAATGCTATCTTCTTTTTTTTTTTTTTAAACATTTTATTAGGGGCTCATACAACTGTTATCCCAATCCATACACACATCAATTGTGTAAAGCGTATTTGTACATCATTTCT